GTTGGGTGCACCAACTGCAATGCTGCATGTGGGGAACCAGACACCCTGCAGGGACCCCACATGCGGCCGAGCCCTCCCTGGGGGAACATACACTGCCTGGAGGAAGCTGGCCTGAGCACACAGCCCCCTCCCAGCCCAGGAGGATCCAGCCCTGGAGCTGGCATCCACGAGGGTTGTGACTGATGACCCTCCAAAATAACACTGGAGCTGCCCTGCTCAGGTTTCCCAGACCTGCAGACTCCTGGGCAGCAGGGTCACACAGGGCTTACTGAGCGGGTGGTGGGTGACTTACCCCATGTGATGGCAGCGATGCCCAGGTAGATGCCACGAGAGCCCAGAGTCCGTGTCCTCCCAGCAGGTTGCAGACCCACAGCAGTGCCCTGACAGGGAGGGAGACATGAGCATGCACATGCCAAGAGGCTCACACAGGCACCCACAGTGCTGCCACGCAGTCCTGGTACACACGAGGGCACGTTTCTTGTGCCAGCTCACACACAGGCATGGATGGTGGTGCTGCTGCTGAAGAAAGGGCCCTTCCAGTGAGGTACTTTGAGGAGCTGTGCCTGCAGCACAGCTGGGCAGTGAGGGAGACACTGCTGGCAATGCAGTTCACTTCTGCGGAGTCCCCAAGTTCAGAGCGTGTCCTGTGGCCCCCCAGCCCTTCCCGCTCATCCAGGGCTGGCACCTGCCTTGCAGTGGCAGTGCCCTGTGTGCCTGGGGTCACCCAGGCAGGGTGTCTCTGGGGCAGTCTGTGTGTGTCCCCCAGCCCCCGACACTGGCACTAGTTCCTCTCAGTGCTTGCCCACAGCCCTGCCCTCCTCTAAATCCCTTTTTCCAGGCAGACCCCGAGTCATCCCCAAGGAAAGGAGCAGGACCTACCATGCTGTGCTGCAGACACGCCTTGCCCAGCCAGTGGCAGTGCCAGGCGTGTGTGCCCCCCGGCAGGCAGCGGTGCCTCACACTTCCTCCAAGCCTGCAGAGCATCGCTCCCTGCCCTTGGCCTCTTCCCCTCCCACCCCAGCCCCACTGCCAGCCCTCATCCTGCACCCCATCACCGCCTCCCTCGCCACAGGGCTCTCCTACCCCAAGAAACCCTTCTCTCACCTGGGGCTGGAAGGGAACAGTGGGGTTCCTACTGGCCATAGCTCTGGTGGGACTCAGCTCAGCACCAGCCCCATGGCATGGCAGCTGGGTGCATCCCCACACTGCCATAAGGACATGACAACCATAGGAGCCGACCCACAACCAGCCAGGATTGCCCGAGCCCCCCAGGAGGTGGAAAAAGGTCCCCCAGGAAGGGTTCAACCCCAGCCCATGGTGCCCAGGGCACCAAGACCTCTCTGACCCACCATGTCCATGTGGCAGCACCCACGCTGGTGGTTGGGAGACAGAGAAGGGATGAGGTGTGATGAGGTCCCACGGGAGCTGAGCAGGAGTGTGGCTCACAGCCTCCCAGCTCTCATGCTGGATGCTCTCCTCGCACGCAGGCTTTTTGCTCTGGCTATGAATCCTCGTATACCATTTATAAACAGTTACTTTTACACAATGTATTTTCCTGTCTTTATCTTTATGAGAAAGGTCCAATAATATGACAGAGGAACTTCCGCTGACTTCTTAACTTCCATTAGAAACTTCCACCAGATTTTCAGGAATATGCCTAATTGTGTTCACCTCCCCTTGAATCATTCTTCAATCATAATAAATCTTCTCTTACCCCATTCTCCTCATAAGTAAAATTGCCTTGGCAGGGTTTTCTGCAGGAATCACTCTGCTCACTTCCAGCTAAAGTCAAGCAAGAGCCATGCAGGTCACATGCATTTTCCAGTTCCAAAGAAACTGATGCTGCTCCACTGGGACCCATTCTAAACAAAAGGAGGAACCCATCCCACAAAAGTCTTAACCTACTAATTACTTTCTACTTGGTCAATACAAATGAAACTCAGTTCCTGTCTCTGGATATCTTTCTTGCATCATCTTTTACTGCAATTGTCTATTTTTATGGAATTGCTGAGGATGGGTCTGTATATCCAGTAATTCAGGAGCTTTCTAGCAGCTCATCTGCTGAGGGTGGTGAATTACAGCAAGGGAAGAAACATCCAGGCAGGCAGAGAGGCTGAGGGGCAGCTGCTGGGACAGGAGAGCATCTCCAAATACTGAGGGTCAGCTGACCAGGGTGGGAACTGCCTCTCCCACTGATGAGACACCTGCTGGGGCTCAGAGAGGTGTTTGTGGGTGCATGGCCCAAGGAGAGAGCAGGCTGTGCCCCTGCCAGTTTCACTTCTGCTGAAACCCAGCAGGGTAGGGTAGAGTAGTAGAAAAAAAATATTCCCACCTTTATTTTTGTAACTACAAATAGCTTCTGGTATTGTTTTAAAAACAGAATCAAGGTGGCTGAGACTCAGAGGCAGCTGCTGCTGCTGCTGCAAAGTACAGGGCAGTACATGGCCAAGTTCAAAGCACTTTGTGGGATCAGGCACCCCATGCCCACAGATACCTGGGCTCAGAGAGGGGGTCCTACATGGCAGGACCGATACTGAGGGTTGCTTTGCAGGTAGTGGAAAAAGGTACACACGGTAGGAGGGAGAGAAGACCCAAATCAGCTCTGCTGGAAGAAGGTTAATGGCCAGGAGCCCTTTCACAACTTGGATGGTTTCCAAGGTGGGCTTCCCTAGAAGGGATCGAGGATCCTGCAGAACACATGCTCCCACTGGATTCCTGCTGCCTTGCTTACCAAGGAAGGGCCTGTCTCTGCCTGAGCAGTGCAGGGATTTCCTAGGTGGAAAGATGGTGCACCCTCTGCCCATCACTCTGAGGGTAGAGCTCAAGCTACAAGCCAGGGCTTTGCTCAGCACAGATTTGAGGGAGCAGGTACGAAGATACTTTCTTGTATTACCTCCTCCCTGTCCCTCTGGATGCAGGGATCTGCAACGGAAACGTGCCTCCTTTGCTGTGCCCCGTCGCTGAGCAATAGACAGAGGCAATGCTCCCTCTCCCGTGAGAGATCTGCCGCAGGCTCTGTCTCTGGGGAAGGGGCATGGGTGTGTGTTGTTTACAGCAGAGGCTCCCGCCCCACGGTGGCACAGCCCGCTCCCCTCCTTGTGCAATGTCCCCAGAGAGGAACCGCAGAGGAACCGAGTCACCCTGGCACAGTGCGTCCGGCTCAGCTGCTGCCGGCGATACGGGGGGCACCTTCGTGGGGAGCCCCCCCTGCCCCCGGGGAGGGCTCAGCAGCCCACTGGAGCAAGGAGGCGCCTGATGGCACTCCTTCAGGAATACAGCATGGTACCAGCGAGGACTCACACCCCTGGGGTACAGCCTCATTGCTGCTATCCCCCCGTTCCTCCTTGGGAACTCGGGCAGCTCCCTCTGAAGCTTTAAAAGGCATCTCCTGAGCACGGGAAGCAGATGATTCCCACCCCACCCCCAGGGCCCCAGGGAGTGTTTGATCCAAAGGCTGTCCCTGAGCCGAAGGGTGCCTTTGAACAAGTCTCCCAGCATGGCACCTGGTGCACAACCCCAGCAGCCAGACCCTCCTTGGGTGGTGCTGGAGGAGAGCAGCAGCACCCGATAAAAACTTTCTCTGCAGGCTAGGTGATCCTGTCGTCACTTGGGGCAAGGCCTGCCTGCATGGCTGAAGGGCTGCCCCCGAATGTGGCACATGGAGCTGCACTCCAGCACCCCATCCCCACCCTGTGCCCCAGCTCACTGGCAGGGCAGGGGTGCTGGGTTCCCCAGGTGGGCAGAGTCACTTGTTTACGCCCTACCACACGAGCAGTGAGATAAAGTCAGTGTTACCTACGCCCCTGGCATCCTGTTTGGCAAACTCTTATCTGTGCCACCCACATGTGGCTGCTGCCAGGTGCCAGGGAGCAGCAGGAAGCATGGGCAGGGCTACCCAAGTGGCAGTGATGCCCAGTGAAAAGGCTCTCCATCACTGGCTTGGCAGTGAAAAGCCTGGAACAAATGCTCCTGGGAACTGCGATTGCTCTGCTTGTGCCCTCCCTGGCTCCCCATGGCCTTGTGCACCCCTGGAATGCCGAGCCAACTACTGACCTGCCCAGCCCTCCCTTGACGGCACCCATCCTCTCAGCATGACAGCAACACCCAGAGCTGTCACACTGGCTTGGTGCAGAGGCAACACAGGTGGTGGAGTCATTGGCAGATGACGAGTAGGACATCACCCCCCCTGAACATGACCAGTGCTTTTGTCACATGTCTGGTTTATGCAGAGATTTCAATCATCTCCTGTCTCACAGAGCAAGCCCAGAGACAGATTCCTCTGTCTGCCACCTCTTCACCCACTGCGTACTATTGCCTGTTCCCCTCTCTGGCCCAGCACCAAGAGCTGTGTCTCCAACCAGGGCCAGCCCCTGTGCAGCAAAAAACATCCTCTCCTCCAGCCAGGAAATCCTGGGGCATCCCCTCTGGCAGGCACTGTGTTTTCCTCTGAGACAGAAGTATCCTTGAGGACATCCTTCATCTTTTGACAGGCCAGGGCTGAGCTTTCCTCTTTTAGAAAAGTTCCTCTTCTCTTTCCCACCTCTCTGCGTCAGCACACAGCAGTTTGATGATTTCTGCTCTGGGATCTTGGTTATCCTTCTGCTCCAAGGAACTCCTCTGTCATTTGACTTGCCGTTCTATTTAAATTGCTGATTTATTATCTGCAGGTAGGGCAGGCACTGGCACTGGTTTTAAGGTCTTTTTTAATGTCCCCATCACTTTGCTTTTGTGAATCTACAAACTGCCCTGCCCACGCTGCCCATGCTGTTGCAAATCACTGGGCTCTGCCCTGTGCAGCATCCCCTGGGTGTGCGATCCCGAGGATGGGGCAGCCCCTTTGGAATCGCTGCTGCTGTGGCCATCCAGCTCTCCATGCACAGGGTCGGCAACACTTGCTGAAGTTGGCTCTCCCTAAGAGTCCTGATTTGGGGGGCAAGCCCCTGCAAGAAAAAACAAAAGCTAAAATAACAAGGGAAAGGATCTTCCCTTTGTTGTCATCTCCGACATCCTGCAGCTCTGCTTTAAAGACCAAGATGATCACAGACACCAATTTAACCTGCTCTGGCCATGGGAAGAGGGGTACAGGCTCCTTCACATCTGAGCAGCAAGAACAAAAAGTTTTTTCTGCACTTTTCTGACAGGAAATGGTAAGGCAACATAGGGAGTGCTTTCTTAGCTTATTTTTATTTTTATTTACCCTTGAAAGGAAAATGACTATTTTGCGGATATTATGGGAGGACTCACTGGCCCAAAAGGAGGTGAGGCAGGACCTTCTCTCCCCACCATCCCTGCTGTGCTGAGGGGACTGGGCTGGCCCAGCACCGTACCTGGCTCCTCCGGGCAAAGCGATGTGCAAGGCGCAGCTCCCCGGGCGGCCCAGCTCCGACCACCGGGCTGTCAGCTCTCTGCTGCCTCTGCCGCCGTCACACCATCGTCACACGAAGGCTTCCTGGTGCTCTGCGAGCCCTAGAAACCCGCTTCTGCTCTACAGGCACTGATGTCCTTCGGCAGAGGCGTGAGGCTGGGAGCAGTGTCCGTCCCGACGGGCACCGGCGCAGGCAGCGAGCGGAGCTGTGCCGGCTGCGGCGTCTGTCCCCCCTGCCGCGGGGATGCTGCAAGGGCGCTGCGGGCGTGCCGGGGCCTGCTGTGCTGTGTCCATTGGCCTGCAGGCCGTTGCTCTCCACGATGAGCCGGAGAAGCCCCGCGCCGGGGAAGTCCATGATGACCACCCCCCAGCGCACGGGCTGCCCGCCCCGGCGCCGCAGGTGCTGGTAGCAGCGGGGGTTCACAATGCGGGCCACCTCCTCAGGGCAGGTGAAGAGCCCATTGCCGGAGCAGAAGGTGAGGTACATGGTGGTGGAGTCCCCGCCAGCTGCCTTCTCCAGGTGCCGGCGCACTCGGGCCCACTTGCGCTCCACTGACAGCACGTTCCAGGCGTCGCTGATGCTCAGCTGCTCGTAGGGGATGCCCAGCACCTCCCGCGTGAGCGCCTCCAGTACCACGATCTTCCCACGCACCTGGCCCAGCGTTGGCACCTCCTCCTGGCACCACAAACAGCCCTGTCCCTCCTCCAGCAGGCAGCGATGCAGCTGGGCAGCGAAGCCCGGCCGGGAGAAGATGGGCAGCTCCTCCTTGATCCGCATGAGCACGGCCTCGCCGGGGTGGGCACGGAGGAAGCGCAGGGTGCGGCGCAGGACCCCCCTCAGGCTGGCCCGCTGGAAGGTGCAGAGGTGGTAGACGCGGAGCTCGCCCCGCGACAGCTTGCAGCGCACATCCAGGAAGCGGACGCCGGCCGCCAGCTGGGCCTCCAGGTTCCAGCTCTGGCACCGCAGGCGCCGGCCGCCAAACAGGCTGAGGGAGTCGTGGGTGCCAGGGATGGAGAGGCGGGAGAGGGGCAGGGCGTCGGGGAGCTCTGCCATCCAGTCAGGGCAGTAGGCTGCCGGCTGCGGCACGCAGTCGAATGCCGCGCCGCGCCGGCACCATGTCTCCATGCAACCAGGAGAGCGGGCACCCCGGCGCCTGGCCGGCCCCCCTGGGCCCTGCCATGGAGGAGAAGCAGACTATGAGCGCTGGAAGCGCATCCATGTATCCTGATCCAACCCCTCCTCAGTGGTATCCCCACCACACCATGAAACCCTGTAACATACCACATGCCCCATACACGTCTGCCAGTACTTCACAACTGTTGCACTGTACTGTCCCCTCCCACTCTCAAGCACTTTTCCCAGTACTCTAAAATACCCAACAGCTCCCAGCTTCCCCCTCCTGCACCCACCTGGGTTTGCCTGTGGCTGGGGAGCGGAGCCCGACGGACGGGGTGCAGGGCCGTGGGTGCCAGCGGCACACTGGCAGGTAGAGCGGGATGCCAGCCATTAACCCGGTGACAGTCGTGACGCGCGTCCTGCCGCGCAAATGGCACGTGCACCAGGGATTCATCCTCAGCCGTCGGCCACGGGCAGCGCTTGACAGACATACCAGGCTGGAAAACTGCCTGGCTGATCCCGAAAGCAGCCATTCAGGCCTCTGCACCTCCCTCCCCAGGAATCAGGACAAACGGGATCGAGGTGCCGCAGGGCCCCTTGATGGCCCCGTGGCAGAGGCTGCGCGGAGCCCGGGGTGCCCGCACGCCTGCTCCAGAAACACGTCCTGGTGGGACCTGCACTGCCCTGGTCATGACCAGCCTCATCCCTGTCAAAGGGACAACGTCTAGGCAGGGACACGATGCAGGGGTTCTGTGCTTGTCAGCACATCCCACGACCTGCTCAGCGAGAGTTCCCTAGGAAGTGGGTTTCATCCCCTTGTTCCTCAGGCACAGGGGGCTGCTTCTCACTGGAATCACTGCAAGACTGCCGGGGAGGTGACCTACAGCACACACTGCGCCCACTGGCTTTTGAAGAGGAACCGCCCGACAGGTCACAGACCCCTCTGAGCATCCTTCCGGGTCACATCCCCTCCGCCTGAGCAGGGCGGGCACAAGGACCCTCGGGTGTCGCTTTCAGCGCTGGGCCCTGCCACTGCTGGGGCACCAAGGGGGGCGCACCAGCCGACACCTTCCTTCCCTGCCCGCTGGGCGCAGCAGCGGGGCTGAGCGGGCGTCCCTGGGGCAGCCCCCGGGGCGGGGGGCAGACACCCTCCCCGGCCCTGGGAACGGCCCCGACCTACGCTCGGCCTCATGCCGTGCTCCCCGCCGCGCTGCCCGCCCCAGCCCCGCAGGAGCAGCAGCTCCCGGGGCACCGCCCCAGCCTGCCCGACACCGCAGCGCGGCGGCGCAGCCGCCCCCGCCCGGGCCCGCCCCAGCCCCGCCGGCCGCTCCTCGCAATGGCGGCCGCGCCGAGCGGTGGCAGCGGCAGGACCTGCTTCGTCCTGGGCGGCTCGGGGGAGACGGGCCGGGCGCTGCTGCGGGAGCTGCTGTCCCGGCGGCTCTTCGCCCGGGTGACGCTGATCGGGCGGCGCCGGCTGAGCCTGGGCCAGGAGGCAGAGGCGGCCGTGGTGCGGGGGGTCGGGTCCCGGGGAGGGGGCGGCCGTGGAGCGCGGGGTCCCAGGGCGGCCGCGCTGACCCTCGGCCTCCCCGCAGGAGCAGGCCGTGGTGGACTTCGAGCGGCTGGCCGATCACGCCGCCGCCTTCCAGGGCCACGACGTGGGCTTCTGCTGCCTGGGCACCACCAGGGCCAAGGCTGGCGCAGTGAGTGGGCCCCCTTTCCCCCTGGGAGAGCAGGGGTCCTGTTTGCCCCCTGCCCTGCCTGCGTGCTCCCTGCCCTGCTGACCCTCCTCTCCGCTTTACCCGCAGGACGGCTTTGTCCGGGTGGACCGGGACTACGTGGTGCAGGCAGCAGAGCTGGCGCGGGCAGGGGGCTGCAAACACTTTGTCCTGCAGTCCTCCCAGGGGGCTAACGCACAGAGCAGCTTCCTCTACCTCCGCGTGAAGGTGAGGAGTCGGCCAGGGTGGGCTCCTGGTGCTCGTGCAGGGGTCACAGAATGCTGGGATGCTCGTGAAGGAAGGAGTAGCTGAGGTCTCAGGAGTTGCAAATGGCTCTGGGGGTCTTCCTGGTGCTGTGGGACAAGGGAAGGGGCTGCCTGCACAGCTGTGTTGACTGCCTTCTTCTGAAGCAGCACAACCCTGCGTGCAGTGTTTATCTCCCTCTTTAAACCTAGAAAGACTCGCTGAGGTCTCTAGCCCAGTCCCAGCTTCCCAGCCTCAAGCTGCTTCACAGCTAGGTGGGGAGGCTCAGGGCTGTGTCCCGGTGAGATGTGAACTATCCAGGGATGGAGAGCCCACAGGCTCCCCAGGTGGGACCGTACCTATCGCAAAAGGTTTTTTCTCCATATGTTGTGTGCTGCAGCTCCCAACATCTGCTTGGATTCACAGCTGTCTGCCAGCGTCTTGTGCCGGCTGGATCCATCCCCAGGCTACATGCTAAGTCCAGTTTCTCTCGGGAGCGGCCCGTTGCAGTTAACATGATGGTTGCAGGGGTGCGCTGCTGACCCACGGTCTGTGTCCACTGCGGGCACTCGCCCCATGCTGCCTGTCCTGGAGAGCTGCTCCCTGCCTGGCCTCTTCCAGCTTTACGCTGACATTAGTGCCATCCTCCCCACGGCTCAGCAACTCTCTCCTTCACGGAGGCGGTAGGGATGGTGCTTGCAGTCATCCTTGTCTCCTTTCATCCTGCCCAACTGCTCTAACAGGGAGAAGTGGAGAACCTGGTCCAGGCTGTTGGTTTTGATCGCTGTACCATTCTCCGGCCAGCGTGAGTAGCAGTGGAGGAGGGAAGTCACAGGGCTGGGGTGGAGGCTTGTCAGGGCAGCAGGTTGGGAGATGGAGAAAGAAAAAGGATCAATAAGTGGGGGGAAGTGGAGAAAGCTACCAGCTGAAATTGCAGCTCATGGATGAGCAGACTGCTTCCCGATGCTGCAGGAAGCAAGCTCTGTATTTTCCCATGGCCCATCCTAATGCTACTGCCATGTGCCATGCAAGGACAAGAAGCTGGGGCTGAAAGCAGAGGTTGGGGCTCATAGGTCAGAGATTATCTCCTCTTGGACCTTGACCTTATGGAGGGGGAGTACTCACGTGTGTCCTTTCAGCTGCACTGTGCTCTTGCTCCCTCAGAGAACTGTCATCATGCTTTTGGCAGTACAGTGGAAAAAGGATTTGAGTGTCCAGGGGCTCAGCTCAGTCACATTTTGTGGCCCTGCTAAAGCCCTGAAGCCCATTTGGGTTCAGGAAGCTGGTCTGCGCCCTGGTGCAGCTGTAGAACTGTCTGTAGGCTGACCTCACCTTACCTCCTCACCCTGCAGGGTGCTGCTGTGCAAGCGCCAGGAGTCCCGGCCCATGGAGTGGGTAACTCGGCAGTTCCTGGGTGCTGTAGCTCGAGTCTTCCCCACCGCTTACTCAGTGCCTGTGGAAACAGTGGCCAGGGCTATGGTGGCCTGTGTGCTGCAGCCAGGCGAGGAGAAGGTGAAGGTGCTGGAGAACAAGGCCATCCATGAGCTGGGAAAGGCAGTGCCACAGCAGGGCACGTAGAGCAAAAGGGATGGCAGGAAAGAGCTTGGTTCGCCATTCAGACGCTCTTTTGGGCCAAGGCTGAATGCATGCATGGGAGAGGTGCAGGGTGCTTATATGGCTAATGTGGAGCCAGAGGTGGGTGTACTTCTTTACACAGTGGCTCATTCTGTCAAGGAATCAAAAATGCAGGTGCTGGACAAGCAGAAACACTGTGCTCTGCTGCCTGGATCCAACATCCAAATGTGGGTAAAAGTGGTGTAAATGAATAAAACTCTATGACTGATCTGTTTGTGCCAGCTTTGTGTTTAAATTACACCTGTCACCTGCACATCAACAACCCAGTCTTACCTATCCAGATTGTGTCTTTTAGTGACACTACAGAGAATGCCCACAGGCAAGCGGCCGTGCAGTAGGTGGTCACTGGAAGGCAGAAACAGCTCTATGCTGTCTATGCAGAGGCTGCACCTCACAGAGCACACGGTGGCACCAGTGCTGCTTGGATAGCAGAGCTCCTGAATGCTCAGCAGCAGCTGCTGAGGCGCCTGGGGGTGGCTCTGCCCACAGCAGGTCTCTGCAAACAACACTTTCCTCGCTGATGTGCTCAGGGTGCAAAGGGACTGCCGCAGAGACGCAGCTGTTCAGACCTGCAGTCACATCAACACCACACAAATACTTGGGTTGACTTGAAAACACCTGTCCCCACATGTCTCTCTGGGCTCTCCTGATGGAAATGAATCAGAGCTCAGATCCGTGTTCCTCAGGCTGCGTGTGCAAGAGCTGAGGCCAGCCACATGCATATCTTGGAGCAGGCTTGCCCCTGCCCCATGCTGCCCAGGTGCCAGAAGGGGAGCAGGTTCCTTCTGCGGGCGTGGAGCAGGCATGATGAGCAGTGCCTTCTCCCAGCTTCAGCCCCAACTCTTCTCAGGCCTCCTGCTCGGGGTCGAGGAACTTGGTGGCTCCACAGCTGGGATGAAGGACTTACGTGACTCCCAAATTCCCAGCTGGCCAGAGTCCCAGCACTCGGGGTAATGCTGCTTTTCAGGATTTTCTCTGACCTCACTAATGGCTCCCGTGTCAGTGACTTGGATGTGGCAAATGGAGGGAGCCTGGATCTCATCTCTGTCCTCTGCACAAGCAGTTTAATCACTGGACAGGACCTCAGAAAGTTGGCAGAGGCAGTGAGATGGTGCAAGGCCTGCACCCGAGCAGCTCTTCAACCACGTGTGGGGCTTAGTTCAAAGGGACCACTGAGCCACAATTACTGCTCAGACTGTCCCAGTGAGAGCAAAAGAGAAACCTTTAGAATAAAATTTCAGTCTGAAGGGAGATGAGAAGTAGGCTGCTCAGGAGCATCACACAAGTCTCTGAGGGGTGTTTAACTTGTGGAGCAGGAAAGCTGTTCAAGCATGCAGCACTGGTTTACCAGGCATAATGTACTCCGGTGCTCAAAGAGATTTTTAAAAAAGGGGATGTGCTTTTACAGGGGAGTGGAAATGAACACCTGAAGTGGTAAGACCTTAAAAGTAGTAAAAATTGCATACAGAAGAGAAACTGAAAAAAGAATGCAAGCTCTGGAAACTTACAGGTAAAAGACAAGCCACAGAAGACTTGAAGAAAGCATCCTAAAGGCATAAAAATGAATTATGACTGTGAGAAGCAGAAAGAGAGTCTGAGGGACAGGATGTGATTGGGCTCTATAGGAAGAAAAGAGCCATCACAGGAAGACTTGAGGAATTACTTGCACTGCCCTTTGCTGTGAAGGAGCTCACACTAGCATCCTTCCATAGGGGACACATATTTACATGGTTGTCCCAAAGCACGAAGGGGAAAAAAAAATATTTGTAACCCCATTTTTAGAACACATGGTTAAAAGTCTGCCAGAAGGAGCACTCAGATGAATTGCCAAATACTCTCCTGGGTGAGAATTGCAGTGATCCCTTTACCAAAAAGTCAACATTGTTAAATATGACACTAGTTTTTAAAAAGTTCCAGTGGGAACCCGGAAACTACAAAGCAGCTAGGCTGCCTTCTATAAAAGGCATGTTGTTAGAAAGGATAATAAAGTCTGGAAATAACAGGGCGCAGGATAAATGTGGTATAGTGGGAGATTCCACATGGCTTTTGAGGGAGCAGTTGCAAGACACAAGCCCAGAGCACTCTTGGAGGAAACCAGCCATTGTGTACACAAGACAATCTGGTCCTCAGAGTGCACTTGGATCTCCAAAAAGCTCTCCCAGAAGGGCTCTTAAAGAAATTAGGCTGTCGTGGGAAGAAAAGGAAGGTCTGTGTAGTTTCTTACTGGAAATATTTTCCTAGCACTCCAAAGCCTTGAAACACACGAAACAAACATTTATTGCTGG